ACTGAAAGTTCACTCTCTGGCGAGGGAGAGGCTAAGCTGAAGGTCTAGTACACTAGTGGACACTGGACAGAGTTGAGGGCTTCAAAGAGAGTGGCTCTATGAAAGGGTTGATATTGAAGGGTGAGAGTCCTGGCCCCTTGTCACACTTAGCTCTCAAAATGATGAAACTAAACTCATAACCCCCAGGAGGGAGACTGGAAGTTTTCGTTCTTAAAGTTGATTCTTTTTCATCCCCAATAAAAAGACCTTCAGACACTGATAAGTGTAGGTCTTTCCCTGCAAAATCAGCTTGGAATGAAGCCAATCAACCAAGACTTCCCATGCACACAGAGCTTCCAACAAACTTTTCAGCACTTTATCCTAAATTGAAGCACATCAACCAGGCATTTTGGAGAAAGTCTATGTATTGGTCAATGTTCTTAGTTAGAAACAGGGAATTCATTATTGGCTCATTTAAGCAAAAAATGAATGAATTAAAATATATTATTGCAGAATTAGAGGAAGATGTATAGGTGGAATTAGAAGCCAATGGTGGGTGACAGGCTTTAGAAATCAGTGGCTACCAAGTCAGCTTTAGGGGCAAGTTTGAGCTCCCACTTCTTGGCTGGTGGCAACAGGCAAAAGAAAATGACTGCTTTGTGTAAACAGATAAATTTACACAAATGTGCGAAATTTCTAGCTGTGAATCCCCCAGAATTTGTAGGGAGAGGGACTCTGAGAAAAATCAAGACATCATTCTAGTTTTCCAGGTAGGGCCCGGAGGGTGTCTAATTTTTATTTTCTATTACTTTTTTATGTCACTGACGTGAACTCTGGTACCTTGGGTTCCTCGTGTGTAAAAAAGGAAGAAAAACCAAATTTTAGTTGTAGCTATCTCTGCAATATCGGGATTTTGGTAATAGCTTATTTTTCTCTATGTGGTTTCTCTGTGTTTTCACATTTCATTATTTTTAAATCAGAAGCCTTTTTAAAGAATTATTGGAGTTTCATTAGGTCCCATTTGTTTATTTCTGTTTTTATTTCCATTTCTCTAGGAGGTGGGTCAAAAAGGATCTTTCTGTGATTTATGTCAGAGTGTTCTGCCTGTTTTCCTCTAAGAGTTTTATAGTGTCTGGCCTTACATTTAGGTCTTTAGTATGCTCAACATCATTAATCATTAGAGAAATGCAAATCAAAACTACAATGAGGTATCACCTCATACCAGTCAGAATGGCCATCATCAAAAAATCTACAAACAATAAATGCTGGAGAGGGTGTGGAGAAAAGGGAACCCCCTTGCACTGTTGGTGGGAATGTAAATTGATACAACCACTATGGAGAACAGGATGGAGGTTCCTTAAAAAACTAAAAATAGAACTACCACATGACCCAGCAATCCCAGTACTGGGCATATACCCTGAGAAAACCATAATTCAAAAAGAGTCAAGTACCACAGTGTTCATTGCATCTCTATTTACAACAGCCAGGACATGGAAGCAACCTAAGTGTCCATCAATGGATGAGTGGATAAAGAAGATGTGGCACATATATACAATGGAATATTACCCAGCCATAAAAAGAAACGAAATTGAGTTATTTTTAGTGAGGTGGATGGACCTGGAGACTGTCATACAGAGTGAAGTAAGTCAGAAAGAGAAAAACAAAAACCGTATGCTAACACATATATATGGAATCTAAAAAAAAAAAATGTGGTCATGAAGAAACTAGGGGCAGGACAGGAATAAAGACACAGACCTACTAGAGAATGGACTTGAGGACATGGCGAGAGGGAAGAGTAAGCTGGGACGAGTGAGAGAGTGGCATGGGCATAAATACACAACCAAATGTAAAATAGATAGCTAGTGGGAAGTAGCCGCACAGCACAGGGAGATCAGCTCAGTGCTGTGTGACCACCTTGAGGGGTGGGATAGGGAGGGTGAGAGGGAGGGAGACGCAAGAGGGAAGAGATTTGGGAACATGTGTATATGTATAGCTGATTCACTTTGTTATAAAGCAGAAACTAACACACTATTGTAAAGCAATTATACTCCAATAAAGATGTTAAAGAAAAAAAAGAATTGTTGGAGAAAAAGAGAAATATTTTTGGTGGCCAGAGTGGGCAGATGAGCTAAGAAACCCTTACTTTGCCTTTGTAAACTTCTTCCCAACTGTTTCTGGGGTAAGCTTCACTTGGAGAATGGTCACTTGTGTACAGCAGCTCTGAGTTACTGCTTCAGACTTTCAATGTTCTTATTAGCTTATAACTAGCAATAAGAAGGCTATTCCAGGTAAACTTTTGTAGGCCAGCTGGGGAAGAGGGAGAGGCACACATGGTGAGAAGCCCTTTGAATAACCATTGCAACCCAGGAAGGCTTCACATGTGAGCAGAGGGGTGGGGTGAGTGGGAGCAGCAGTAGCTCTTGATAGAGGGCTCTACATGGTTGGCACTTTATAATTCCTGATGTCAGTCCACATTTGAGGGGACGATCTGCTGTCCCATGTTTCCCACCTCCTGTAATGTCATCCAAGTTCATCCATCCAAGGATGATCCCTCAGTCATCCTTGACTCCTCTCTTTCCACCACCTCCCACTTTGAATCACTCACCGAGCCTGTATTTTCAGTTCCAAGCATGCCTCTGAAGTGACTTTCAAATCTGTCCCATTCTCTGCATCCCCCTGCAGCTGCCCACTTTCAGGCCTCCCTCAGTCCTGTCCTGGACAAATGGGAAACCTCCTAAGTGTCTGGTTGGCCTCCAGGACACGGTTACCTTTTCCAACTCTGTGTCAAAACAGAAACCCACCCTTTCCCGCAAGGCCAATGCCGAACCCCCTTGCAGGGCCTACAAACCTTTCGTAAACGGACCCTAAACTTTAGGTCAGCGTCTGCTTTGAAGATGGCCAGCTCTTCGTGGTTTGCCAGAAATTTTCCAGGTTTTTAGCACCCAGAAAACCCCTCAGTCCTGGGAAAACCAGGATGGTTGGGCACCCTATCTTAGCACTTGCCGCCTAGCCCCCACTCAGCTGGCACATGAACTAAAGCTTTGTGCTTAATAAGACAGGGTATGACTCTGTCTTATTAATTTTTATCTGCCCCAAACCTGCACAGGATCTGGCATGTCACAGGCATTGAGTAATCTATCACTCTATGACAATTCGTGATGTCAATAAGGCTACTATTTTCTTTAAGATTTTTGACCTCCTTTCTGTTACTTTCCTCGAGAATGAAAGTTTTGAAAATAAATTTCATTGCGACACTCTTTCCTTCAGTAAATGACACTGGCTTAAAATGGTGTGCTAGTTTTATGCATTTTTTTCTACCCCCTGCCAACAGAGGAAAAAACAGCAATACTTATTTGTCAAAAATTACTGAATGTAATTAATTTTATCACAAGGAAGAAAGTAGGCACAGCTCCTATATTCTACTAAACCCAGGTTCCTGTGGAACTTGTCTACTTTAGAACATTTGACTGTCATTCCCTAATAAACGGTCTTGCCGTTATCCCACTTTCTGAAGAAAGACCAGATTGGTGAAAGCCTTACACTTTGGAAGCATGCTTTACAAACTCTGTGACTGTTAGTTCTCAAGGACCATATTATCATTAGAAGTAGTAGGCTTAATGGGAAACCCATCAAACACAACAGAAAACGCAATATTTTTCTTTTGTTTTTTATCCATTTTTATATTTTAACAAATATTATTTTATGAAATGGATATTTAGCTATATTCACCACTGAAATACCTCATTACTACCATGAATTCTGTTAGTCTGTGTGCTTTTAACACTAATGTTCAGAGCAGGGATCACTGGAAATGACATGTACTTGAGAAAATTAGAGAATTCTCCAAAATTAAACAATTTAATCTTTTTTTTCTGATTGTGATTCAGTCAAGTCTGCACAAGCTGTGTTTGGTAACCTGTACTTAATTCTGTCTTGAGATGCTCTTTCCCTATGCGGAACATTCTAGAACTCACATTGGCTCTGCCCACTTGCTCAGCTGAGAAGTTCTTGCACATGTTCTCCAAATGCACTAGGAAGTCCTTGGGACCTCATCTCGTCACTGTTCTTTTGTATGGTTGGGTGTTCACACGTATCCCCTGGTAAGAGGCTCAGAAGTTTGTAGTCATGTCTATTGCAAAGTTTTTTAGGCCTTCCTGCACACTGACTAAAGACTACTTTTTAAAAAATTGAAGTATAGTTAATTTACAATGTCATGTTAGTTTCAGGTATACAGCAGTGACTGTTATGTACTCTTTTTCAGATTCTTTCCATTATTACAATATATTAAATATAGTTCCCTGTGCTATACATTAGGTCCTTGTTTATCTATTTTATATATAGTAGTGTGTATATGTTAATCCCAAACTCCTAATTTATCTCCCCGCCCTCTCCCTTTGGTAACCATAAGTTTGTTTCTTGTGTCTGTGAGTCTATGGCTTGAAACCTCTGCCTGGTGTGACTCCTTCCTTTTCCCCCTTTGTCAAGCCCTCTTCAAAGGAGGAATAGGTAAGAGGACTAGGTCAGCCTAGCTACCCTCCCAACTGTGGTCTATGTGTACGCACATACACAGGATGGATGAAAGAGAGGTTGCTGATTAAAATACACTCTTCCTGAAAGGGGGAAAGGAGAGTGTGATACTTTCTTTCCATGTTCAAGTGAAAATAAATAATGTACCCTTCAAAAAAAAAAAAGTCTGTAGCTGCATCTATTGCAAAGTTTCCACAAACTGACTAAAGACTACTTTTTTTAAAGGACTCTTTCTGTGATTGGGTTTGAATCCCACGGCTTTTGCTCTCACAGCATCTTTTCACTTGCAACCCCCATCTCTTCATCTTTTTCCCTCTTAGGAGAGGTAGCAGAGAACCCAGCTGATAGCCATTTTATAAAGAACATTTGTTTTGATTTGAGGAAGTGATCCAGCCCGACAGCTGAATATTCCCTTTTTTTAAATTCTTTCCATCCATGTAGGCCTCTACAGGACTTGTAAACTATTAAATTAACTACTTTGTTTCCATTTACAGATATTTGCACAGTGTATGGATAAACTCATTGCTTGCTAAGGACTGACCCTGACCAGCTTAGCAAGGTAAGATGGCTTTGAAATATTAATGCAAATCCCAGGTGATCAGCGAGGTCCTGAAGATCGGAGTCCAGAGCAGACCACAAGGCAAGAGTGGAACACTTGCTGGGCTGGTACTGGGATGCAAAGGACAGCTTCATCTCTTTGTAGAGAGGAGTAATTGACACTTCGAGAAGAGTTAGAGTAAATGATGAAAAATGATTGAAAGGCTGAGAAGTAAGAACTCTAATTTAGGAAGTCAATGACATCTTGATGTTCAGGGGAATTGAATAATGACTAAAGACACCACAGGGATAGAGTCAGAAATTGGAGTCGAATCCAGCATGGTGTCATGCTCTCTGTTGAGTCCAGGGACTTAGTGTAAGCTACTTTCTCTGCTTGGAAGTCCCTGTCCCCTCCCTCCTTCAATCCACCCCCTCAAAACCTGCTTCCTAGAACAAATCCGCCTAACCCTGTTGGTCTCAGGTAAAATGTCACTTCTCCCATGAAGTCTTTTCTGATCTCTCATCACCACCACTTGGATAGATATCCCTCGCTTTGCTCCCAGAGCACTTGTACTTTGTCCTATTTTAATAATCATAATGGCCCATTTATTGAGAATTTACTAAGTGCCAGACCCTCTTTTAAGTACTCTGCACGTAGTACCTCATTTAAATCTCTTAATAACCTACAAGATGGGTACCATCATTATACTCATTTTACGGGTAAGAAAATGGAAGAACAAAGATGTTTAAAAACTTGCTCAAGGACACACAGTTAGTGTCAGATCAGAGACTGGGATCCAAAGCCTGAACTCTTAACCATCATGCTATTATAATTGTCTATATCTCATTTTTGGACTATAAGGACACACCTAGATTCAAGGGTAGTGCACGTATATCCTATCTCTCAATCAGAGGAGTGTCAAAGAATTTGCAGTCACCTTTAACCACTACCTTAGTTGCTAAATATATATACATATATATAATATTTTTTAAAAAAAATTAATACATATACGTGTATATGTATATATGTATTACAATTGCAAATAAGATGCTATCTGGATTTTATTTTTTGTTGCATGCCATTCTCTGATCTTGACTTAGAGCCAAATTTACCCTTTAGAGTTTCTATCTTGATCTCTTTCTTATGAACAGTGAAGAAAAATAAATGTTTCAGAATGACTACTTGAGTCTGCAGCAAATCACATCTTAATCTCCTTCCATTTTGGCAAAGATTCGTAAAGCTAAATATCTTCTGTGCAACCTCATATAAAATATACCCCATTCCTCTTTCATACACCTGCAGTAGATGTCACTAAATAATCATGCACTCAGACTCTTTCTTAACCCAGCTCTGCAGATAGGCACTATTAATTAAACAGACCTGGCATATGAGCTAAAACATATTTGCCACCCCTCTTTTATGCTATCACTGCCTAACTTACTCTTCCTCCCAACCTTATAGATTTTATAATGGAATGGATTTTTTTTTTTGATCTGGGGCAGGAATGGGGCTTAATATTTCATAACTAGCCTCATATTTTTAGATATACTTTGAAAAAGAGTTTAAAAACCTATATTCTCAAATATATATAAAATACATTTGAGCTGAAATTACTGGTTTCTATATAATAATTTTAAGGTGGTTCCTGATACTCTCGAGGCATTTGGAATCAAAATTTATTTTTATCCTCCTTCTCCATAAAGTATTTACTGAGTGTCTCCTTGTAGTATATGGTTTAAGCAAAGCATTGCACAAAGTAGATTATTCAGAAATAGTTTGAGTGCATAATAGTTTGGGACATAAATGATTTCATACATCTACAGGAGCTAGGAGGGCTAGTTTATAACTGGAGATATTGTTTTATAAGGTGTTATTTTAGAATACATGTGTCAAGAATTCAGACAGCAAAGTTATTTTCAATGGTTACATTTATGGTGGCCAGATACTGTTATGCTTGGAAGCAAAGCCTTCCAATCCACCCAGGATGTAGGCAACCATTTTATTCCCAGTCGCACCCTCCACTCACACCATTTCAGATAAAGTGTCAGGTTGGTGCTCAGCTGCTGGGAAAACTAATGATCAAAACTCAGGAAAATAATTCTTTAGAGGTTTTTTCTGGCAGATACCTATAGTCTGGAGGGAAGTGTTGCACAGTGAAAATGATCATGTTTACTCCTAAGCTAAATGGGCATTCATCTTATTCTCATGCCTGTCATGGTGTACCCAGAAAGTGCTAAATGGAGTGAGCATAATGGAATAACTCCCCACCCTCTCCAGGAAAAGAAACTTCTCATTTTAATGTTATGGTGTGTTCTCTAATAGTAATGATCTTTATAGCTTTATAGGATACTCTCAAAAAACAGCATTGAAAGTGGATCAAATGATTTCATTTTGCTTTGGCTATTAGTCTATCTCAGAAACAGTTTACTGTCTCATACGTAATATACCGATAGTGATTGTCCCTGATTTCTAAATAACACTATCAGGGATTCAATGACAATGAGAACAGCAGGAAACGCCAAGTAGCGTAATAGCTTCCTAAGCAGCTATGTAACTTTCTATTTCTCTGAGGGCTGAGGTAAGTCAGTGGACTGGTGGACAGAGAACTTTTGTCTTCGGAAGGCTGTCTATTGCCCCTGTAAGAACCTATGATGGAGGGGCATCAGGACCAAAGAGCTTGAACTGGCAACACGAATTTATTTCATATCTTGGCAGAAACTCGCACACCATCACAGTCCAGCGTGATAATGGTGTATTCTTTCCCGACTATGACCCACCACAGGAAAACCATGAGGGTCATACAATGGCCAGAAATTAACTCTTGACATACTTGCAGCTTTTCCAGCAAGCGCTGGGGCTTAGTATTACAGAACTAGAAGAGCTGATCTCCCCTGGTGATAGCAATCTGCCTTTCAATTTTGCTGTCTTGAACAACCAGCTGTGAGCCTTTATATAACATTTCACAGTCCCTTAATTACCACATGACAACCTCAGGGCTGCTAATCCTAATACCGTTCCAAAGTGAAGGACTTATGACATGTCAGCAGTTAAATGCAGCTCTTTCTGTGGTAATCATGTTTGGTGGAAAATATAGTTCTTCCCAAACACAGTGAATACTAACCTTAAAATGTTCAGATAAACTTTTGCTTATGCCCCACATCACTGGAGAGAAATAGCTTCTTGTGTCCTGGCTGAGAGGTGTACCAGGGTTGCTAAATATATAGCAAAAAGCCAAATGAGAAAGACTTGTAGAGAAAAGAAAAATGGATAAAAACTGACAGGACAAGATTCATTGTACTGCTCAAGCATAGCATAGCTAGTCTTTTTTCTTTTCTTGGTGGAAACTGGGCCACAAACACAGCATTCGTAGGCCGTGTGATGATGCAAAAGGACTAACTAAGCTTTGCTGATCTTAACATGGCCGCCAGGACAGTGTTATTACTTTAGTGCAGATGCAGGCAGGTCAAGGCACCTACAGGAAAAAGAAAGGTTTGCCCTTATTGGGTAAAACAGAGACATCCATTGACCAGGCCCAGTCATTCAGGACGAGTATTAGCTGGGACTCATATAGGCTGGATTTGTTTTCTCTGCTTCTGCTTACCTTCTACCCAAGTTGGTATGCTACTGACTGCCAGAAAGCAGTTAATCAAGTCTCACTTCAAATGTAGCAGTGTAAATTTAATACAACATTTGTTGTTTGGTGAGTTTCTTAATATCCCCAGACATATTAATCAATCAACCAGTACTTACTAAACCTCTATTCTGCCCTGAGTGTTTTGCTAAGTGTTCTTGAGGACATGAGACATATGAGATGGAGTTTTAGTTCTCCAAGGAAGTGCGATGAGGTTGCTTACAGGGTTTGAATCCTAGCATGTCAACTTACCAGGCTGATGACTTTGAGAAAATTAAGTTACATTTTAGACCCTCACCATTTTTAACTAGTTTAAAAATGCCTATTGTACAGAGTTAGAATTTCTATCCCAGACCCCCTCTGAGCTCCATACTTGTATATCCAATAGTCGACATGCAGAGTCCACCTGGATATCTAATAGAATCACAAGCTATACATGTTCAAGATTCTTCATCCTTGCCCCTCCACCCCTACCAAGATCCCCACTACAAACTTTTTCCTCCAACTTTTCCCTTTGTCAATAAACAGCATCGTAGTCCCATCAGGACCTTCTTTTCTCATTAATTCATCAGCAAGCCCTATCAGTCTTGTCTTGGAAGTTCATCTCTGATCCACCTACGTTTCTTTGTCTTCATTGCCTCCACCTGTAATTCAGGCAACCATCATTCATCTCCTACAACAGCTCCCCCTCTGGTTTCACAGCTTTGACCCTGAGCCCTCCAATCCAATCTCCACTCAGTAGTAAAAGTACTTTTAAAACCTAAATTGGGATTTTCACTTCTGGTTAAGATGTAAAAAGTCATGAATTCCTGTTTTTCAATGGTGTACTTAATTATTTTGTGCTCAACTTATTCCAGATTTTACTGGTGGCAGCCTCTTCAAATGACTCCCATGTCTTTGTGACATGTCCTCATTAATTTTACTGAGAACGTCTTTACTCCTTGTCATAACAAAACTTTCCAGGCTCACCTTGTACCTCTCTGTCCCAGGTCTAGAATCAGCACTTCTCTGAGGATCCCTGGTTCCTTTTATTGGGGAAACGGATTAGAGACAACATTTTGAGTGCTAGGGGTGCTTATTATTCTTAGGATGTCATCATTTCTTGACCCCTTCAGTGGGCAGAGCTAAGAAACATAAAAATGTATGTACATATAAATATACTTATGTATACACATGCACATACACATGTATAAGCACATGTATTTCTTATTTTAGAAATCATGAGTTCATATTGTTACCTCCAATTCCAGTTCATCCCTACAGGGTTCATTTACTTCATTTCATATTTGTATGTCCTTTCTTCCGCAGTGCAAATCCTGGCCCCCTCACAGTAACAACACATTTACTTATTCGCTCAAGCTTATAGTACATTTAATTTTTTTCAGAATTATTTAACTCGTCCCTCTTCTAAACACAAATGAACTAAAAGAAGTTCAGAGTTTGTTTGCAATTCTCACCCCACATTCCACTACATCCTCTACCCCACCCAACACTGAGGGCTTAATAATCAAATTCTGTGTTCATAAATTACCTGATTGTTC